CCCCCCCGTCATTGCAAGCCACGAGAGAGGAAGCCGTGGCCGCCCTCACGAGGGATGTGCTGAGAAGCTTGTCAGTCCTGCGCCGGCATCAGCTTCTGACTGTGCAAGCCAAACCAGCTTGAAGAGGACCAGCTCTGGACAGGCTGCAGCTTGTGCACGTTGAAGAAGAAGAAAGACACGGGCTGGGGGGTGTTTGTGCAATTCACGTGATTTGCATAATTGCACTAGAGCTATTTGTACAAGTCTGAAAATTATGTTACTTAAGCTAGAATAACATAGTTTCCAACTTCCACCTTGCACAAATGTAGTTTCTGCAAATCACGCCATGGGTGCTCATGTCCCTTGTGCTTTTCGGTCCAGGACAGAAGCGCAACTCGGACTGTTCCTGGCCAGATTGCAGGCAGGCGGGCGGGAGGGAGGCCCATCGAGCTCAAGCACTCTGCATTCCCCAGCACTGCAGCGTCTCTGCTCCCAGTTTGCTGGGCGATGAGGAGCTCCCATGGCCCACCGCTCGTTCAGCGGGCTGCATTTGCTGTGGCTTGAGACCCCCAAAGCCGTGCCGAGAACTCGCAGCTGCTGGGTCCATTGCAGGCAGCAGCCTGAGCGGCGGCGGAGGAGACACCGAGCACTGTGGCAGACGTCCCCGCGGCCACTGCTGCGGCATCAGGCGCCGGCAGGGTGGGCGGCAGCCTCTGCAGAGGCTCGCGGGGCTGGCGCTCGCCAGGGCAATGGCCTCCGGACGCGCCTTTCCGCTCCCAGCGCCGTCCCCAGGCGTGTCTGCCCGTGTGGTCCCTCTGCAGAGAGGGATCAAGGACCCCGTCGCTCGAGGAGGGCGCAGGGCTGCTTGCTTCCCTGCGCCCTTACCGCGAGCAGGGCCAAGGAGCAGCTCCTCCTGTGGCAGCGCTCCCGCTCCCCCCCAGAGGCAAGGCGGTGGATCTGCTGTCCGATCCGTGCCGCCTTTCCTGCAGCCTGGGCCCAGGCCGGTGCTGGGGCTTGCATGCGCTGGAGGGCAGAGGGGAGCGTACCTCGCCACCGGGCCGGGGTTCGTTCCCGGGTCCCCCTGGGCACCTGGTCCTGGGGAGGGGCGCTCCAGGCTGCTCTCTGCTGTGAGTCGCTCCCTCCCTGCGTCCTGAGAGGTCCCTGCATCTCCTCTTTGGTTGAGGGCAAGGAGGGTCCTCCCGGCATTTGCACCCCTGCAGGGTGACTTCTCCGCATGTGCACAGGGGAGTGCCGCACGGCCAGCCCCGCCCCAGGGCTGCAGCGGGGTTGCTGTGCGTGCCCCCGTGGCGGAAGGGCCCCTCTGGAGAAGGGGCCCCCCGTGCATCCGGAGGCATGCATGCGGCCCTCGTCCGTGGGAGAGCTGAGAGGCCGGCGCAGTGGCCCCTCGCATGCTGCCCAGGCGCTCCCGCTGCGGGCGGGGGGTGGCCGACGGGCGCTTCAGTGGCGGGATGGCGCTGGGGCCTAGCCCATCCTTTCCCATGCGCCCCTTCACGCATCGTGCCACGCGTGGTCGGGGGGGCGAGCGGCACGGCGTGCGGGGACCGGCCGTCGTGAGCTGATGCTTTGGAGCGCCAGCCCCAGCGACAGGAGCTGTGCTCAGCCCCTCTGCCTCTCCCCCTTGGCTGCCCCAGGTGATGCTTTCCGAGCGGAAGGGCACTGACGAACTGTACGCTGTGAAGATCCTGAAGAAGGACGTGGTCATTCAGGATGATGACGTGGAGTGCACCATGGTGGAGAAGCGAGTCCTCGCCCTGGCCGGGAAGCCGCCGTTCCTCACACAGCTCCACTCTTGCTTCCAGACCATGGTGAGCGCCATCAAGCCGACACTTCCATGCTGGATTTCCTACGGTTCCCAGCGCGATCATCCAGATAGTAGCTTCTGTGTGGGCACATGTGGAAACCCCATCCAGGGCTCCGGGACTGAAGATGCTCACGATGGGCAGCCTGAGGGGCTGGCTTGCAGAGCCCGTGGCGGGGCGAGGGACAACGGGCGCCCGGTGGCAGGCGGGGTGAAGGCCGCAACCCCCGAGGCAGCGGCCGGCCAAGGGACAGGGGCAGAAGGAGCCATGCAGTCGGACAGATGGGCAGGAGGACCCAGGAGGAAATCTCATGGGCTCTGCTGGCAGGAGCAACTCGGTGCTCCTGGGAAGAAGGGCAGGGAGGGGCTATCACGACTGAAGGGAATGGCTGGGGGGCCGAAGGTCAAAGGAGGAGGAGGAGATGCCGGGCATCCACTGATGCTTCCACAAGGCAGGTGCTGTCAGCTGCTGCAATGCTGTCCGGAAGGCCTCCCCGGGCTTGCCTGCCAGGCCCCCAAGTGCCGCCGTGAGACTCCAGCATGTGGCAGAGGGTTCCGGGATGTGTTAGAGGGCACAGCCTCAGTTGCTGGCAGATGCTGGGCTTCGGTGTCCCATGAGGGGCATCTTGGATGGCTCCCATGGAGCTCTGCACCCGGGGGATGAAGGAACATAAGCAGGAAGCTTGTGTCCGTTTGGCGTCTCGCTGGGGCCCCTAATAGGCTTCTGAGGAGCCCGGTTCCCCCCAGATACGTTTTGGGAAGCTACCCATCCTGGCAGCAGTGGGGGCAGGCTCGGGCTTCTGAGGCCTGCCCTGTTTTTCCCTTGGCTTGCCGTGGGGGCTCAGGTCGCAGGCCAGTTCCCTCCGGGGTGCCCTGAGCTACACGGGGGGTGACCTTCCCCATCAGCCTCACCCGTCTGGATGCAGGTCGGCGGTTCCAGCAGCTCAGCGCAGGGCTATTGTTGAATGACCCAGAATCACGCTCCCTGCTGGGCCTCATTTGCCAGCCGGTCGCCTTTACCTTCTGCTCTTCCTCACCTCGAGCGGCGAATAATCGCCTTCTAGGGATTTCTGGGGCTGAGGAGGTGCCTCGCCCGTGGAACTGTCACTGCTAGGCAGCCATCTGGGTGGGCTGTCAAACAGGGAAGAAGCCCCCCCGCCCCCCCACATTTGTGGGCACGCAGCTCAGCCGAAATGCCATCCCAGCCGCCCGATCGAGCCAAGCGCACCTGCTGCCAATCAGGCGGGGGGCTGCTCGTTGTGTAGGCGGCCTCGTGAAGCTTGGCGAGGCTGTGCCACGTGGTCTCCGTTGACATCTGAAGTGTGTCGGCAGAGGATTAGTTCTCGGAGACCTGCCTGTGGGTAACGCAGTCAAGGTTTGTAGCAGAGAGTATTAACAGGCCCTGGGTACGAAGGGCCTGGCCGGGGGTGGGGGCAGGGGGGGGGCCTGTCCGTCGACCGACTTGGGGGAAACTGGCATCTCCATCTGGGGTGGGAAGGGAATTGACCTTTTGCTCCAGGATTGCGGGGCTGTGGTCCGTCTGAGAAGCACCGGGTGGCCCGGATCCTGGGGAGGGGAAGTGGATCCGGCAGGCACTGCCTTTCCCAAAAGCTCATCTCCAAAAGAGAAATGCCAAGGGCAGCCCCAGAGGGGCAATTCAGGTCAAGAATGGGGCTGCCCCCCCAGGCCGCACATGCAGGCCTGGCCCCCATCGCAGCACAAAGGATGGTCTGGCGATGTCGCAAGGGATCCGATTACAGATCTTGGTCTGCCATTGCGAGGAGGCGGTGGGTTTTCCCCCGCGCTGCTGCGATCGGCTTACTCGCCAGGGACCGAGCTTGCGAGTTCCAGCACTGCCTTCTGCCTCCCCCTCCCCTCTTGGCCATCAGCAGCTCCCGTGTGCTTTACCAGAGTGCCAGAAAACAGCCAACTGAGCGGAAGGGTGTCAAGGGGGACTCTGCAGCACTCCCGAAGGGCAGCAAAATGCTTCTCTGGCAGGTTCTAAGACCTGAAATGGCCTGGCGGTGGCTGCAGGGCCAACTGCGCCCAGCTGTGTCTATCTGACTCCCTCTCTGTGCAGGCGGCTGCTGCCAGATGTGGCCAGGGAAGACCAGGGACGCGGCCTGGCTTCCATTAAGACTCCTTCGTGCACTTTTTTGCACGGTGGGAAGGCAGGAGCCCGCAAAGGCCCACAAAGAGCACCCAAGCCGGAGCGACCGTCTGCAGTGGGAGAGCTTAGCGTTCTGGGACCGCCAGTGCAGACCCCTTGCCCAGTTCAAGGATGCTGTGGGGGAAGAGGTGCCGCAGGCCAGCCTCAGGCCGTTTCTCTGCCATGCAGTCTTGCTCCTCTCCTCCTCTCTCTAGGACCGGCTGTATTTCGTAATGGAGTATGTGAACGGTGGCGATCTCATGTATCAAATCCAGCAGGTCGGGAGGTTCAAGGAGCCGCATGCTGTGTAAGTTTGCTGGCGTCGGGAGCTGTGCGCTGGGCCCAGGCTGGGGAAGTGAGCGAGGGCAGAGGCCCCCGTGGGACGGCACATGGGGGACGGGCGGCCCGACCTTCCCCCTCTCTGGGCGGCGTTCTGGGGGACTCTGTGCAGTTAGTTGGCAGCACGTTCCCCTTGCAGCGTGCGCTCTTTATCCGCATTCCTGATTTGCCATCTCCGATTGCAGGTTTTATGCAGCTGAGATAGCCTTTGGGCTCTTCTTCTTGCACAGCAAAGGAATCATTTATCGGTAGGTACCAGTTTTCCCTTCCCAGCTTCCAGAAAGGCAAGGTGGCCATTCGAGTGGTCCTCAGCACAAGGCTGATAGTCCCGCCATCCCAAACACTGGCTGCTTTCCAGGGGGCTTCGTGGCAGCCGCCCTTGTGCTGCACAGACAGGTGGAACACACCCTGAAGGTTTCCAGGCACCCGTTGCTTTGAAGCAGCTCCTTCTTTGGGGGAAGCAGGCCGACTCAGTGGCCTTGAGGCGCTGGCTCTTAGCGAGATGGAAGAAAGCCCTTGAAGGGTGGCCTGCCCCGTGTGGGCAAACCCTGCGACTTCGTGTGCAGTGGCTCAGCATTCTGCAGCATCTTGGAGAAGGCCCTGGCCCCGGCCTGGCCAGGAGTCCCCTGTGTAGAAGCAGGTTCATCTCCCGAGTTTTCCCATTCCCAGAATAGCCCTGGAGCCCTGCCAAAAGGCAGCTCAGCCCGTCGGCTCCCTCCGGAGACTGGCAAAAGTGTCATATCCTCCCTTACGGTCCCCCCAGCATTTCACAGATGAAAATGCAGCCCCTTCTGTGGCACCCAAAATGTAATGGCAAGAGCACTGGCCAGACAAGTACCCCCTACGCCCACCGGCGACAGTTGCCAAGGACACCCCTCTGCCCCCAGGGTGCTCTGCCCTCCAGCTGCGTCCTGGCCTGGGGCCGAGGCGGGCAGCGTGCCGGCAGCGCTTTCGCTTCCACGGCGTGCCCGAGGGACAAGGGGCATCCCCCCATCTCTCTTCAGCACATTCGCTTCTGGGGGCCCCGTTCAGCAACTCTTCCTGGCACAATTTAGCAGGGCTACAAACCGGGGCAAGGGCAGGCAGGGAGGGGATCACCTGCGCTGCCCCACCAGGTCTCTGGGCCTGCCGAGCGCCCCTCCCTCTCCCAGCCACAGTTGGCTTCCAAAGGCCAAGGACATCCTGCTGCCCAGCATGGGACACTCAGGCTTCAGCCAAGGCCCCCTGAGTTACTTTGGCACCCGAAATCTCACAAGGGCCCTGGCCCGGGAGGCAGAGGGCAAACCTATGTGTCTCATAGCTGGTTGCCTTTCAGTTGCAGCCAAAATCAGTTGTCGGAGTCTCCCCACTCACCCTGGCCAGTGAGAGCCGCCCGGGATGGGGGCCTCGGGGCAGTTCTGTTCCAGGGCTTTTGCTGGAGCAGGGAAGTGCCGCAGCATCCAGACACAAAATCCTTCAATGTTCCTTGGCCGTTGGCCGTAACAAAAAAGAGCACAGGCCAGAGAAACCGTGGCAAACAGATTTAAAGACCAGTGCTGTTCACCTGCGTGACACTTCCCAAAAGCCCAAGTGGATGCCCTTTGACCCAGCTTTTAGCCAGGTCTCCCCTGGGAGAGGCCCGTGCCCAGCCCCACTCCGCCCCCCTGCTCCTCCCACCCTTAGCCAAGGACCTTATCTGAACACCTGGGAGCCCTCCTCCCTCCCTCCTGCCCAGCCTCCATAACCGCTGCGTGTTTTGAATGCTGCAGAGACCTGAAGCTCGACAATGTGATGCTGGACTCCGAGGGACACATCAAGATTGCTGATTTTGGCATGTGCAAAGAGAACATCTGGGACGGGGTCACCACCAAGACCTTCTGCGGCACTCCGGACTACATTGCGCCCGAGGTGCGGGAGGGGGGCAGACGCGCACGCCAGGCCCTCCCTGGGGTCTCTGCGGGCTTCCGGGCTGCACCGGGAATGCCTGGGGTGGGGCTGCAGCAGCCCTGCTGGGATCCAGCTCTCTTGGCTCATGCAACGCATTCTCACTGGGGAAGCGAGCCATGCGCAGAGGACGTCTGCCAGTGCCCGGGGAATCCCACTGCACAACCTGCGGCTCAAACACGGGCTGCAAGTCACGTGCGTGGAAGGGGGATGCACTTGCTGGCGCTTGCCTGGATGCGATTCCTGGTGGGCGCCGTGCAAGCACGTTCGCACCGTGAACTCGGACGCAGAGCTGCTGCGGAGCAGGCCGGAGCCCAGGAGGGAGGGAAGCTGGTTGGCCAAGCGGGGGCGTTTCAGGCGCAGCTGAGGGAGCGTTCGCGAGCCTCATGTCGTGTCTGCTCAGTGCTGCCTGGGGCCCAGGGATGGAGCACAGGGTGCCAAGGGGTGCTCCTCCCAAAAGACGGGGGGAGCACGTGCTGCGGGCTTCCTCTGGACGTGGCGGGGAGGGAGGGGGCTGCTCTCTTGACTCGCCGCGGCTGCCACGGGGTCGCATGTCCTGAAGCACGGCAGGGAGGGTGGAGAGCCAGGCTGGGGGCGTGGGGGGCAGCGTGCCAGGCATGGCAGGCTGGCTTGTGCCTGTGTGCTGGTGGGGCAGGCACACTCCAAGCAGGGCAGAGGCTTCCGTGGGGGCTGCCCCTTTTGCTGGGGGACTGAGGGGCTGAGCCAGGCCTGTTCCTGAGTCGGAGAAAAAGGCCAGAGAAAATCCAACGTGAGCTTCCTGCAGGCCTTCTGCCCCTGCTGGGGCCCCGCTCCCCGGTGAGCAGCAGGGCCTGAAAAGGCCTGTCCTATGGGCCCCTGGCCGGCAGTGGATCGGGGAGGAGCCACCCTCCTGCTTTTCTGGGGAGGCCACGGCCGTCTTCCCCGGGAGGCGGCTGATCACCCGCTGCGCCGTGCACGGTTTCCCTTTTTCCGCCAAGATTAATCAGGGTCTCCGTGCATGATTAATGCCTTCGGAGCAGAATGAATGGCCGTCTCCCTTTGGGGGGTAACTAGGTGCCATCTCTAAAAGGCCCATTTTCATCAGTCTTGCTAGTTTTTTTCATTTTTCAAAGAAAAGGAAACAAGACAATGTACCTTGTAAAACAAACACAAAATCAGTATCTTACCAAAAGCAATGTGGAAAAGTGGGAGGAGAGAAGGACGTACTTCCAGGTGGGCGATACACCCTGGCGTGGTGCCAGGCGTGCTGAGGCGCTCGCCTTCTCCCTCGCCCACAGCCCCACCTGCGCTCCCTGGCGCACGGGCGAGGGCTTTTCGGCATGCAGTCTGTGCGCTTGCGCATCCTTCTCTCAGGCACAGACTGGCTTCCAAGAGCAGGGGGAGCCCCCGGGCGTGAAAAGAGGGCTCTGCCAACCCTCGAGGAAAAGCCGCGTCTCCTCTGGGGTGACGGAGGCCACACCAGCTGGGGAGTGGGCGCCCCTTTCCTTGCCTGCAGGAAGGGCAGGTGCGTTCTCCTCTGCCCTTCCCCAGCCTGCAGCCGGGGCCGATTCGAGCCTGAACCTGGGGCCGGGTGCGGCCTCCTCATCCAGGGCCAGGGGGCCTCAGGCCCAGCTGCAGAGAGCCAGGGGGCCTGTGGAGAGCTCTGGGGACTGGAGGCCCCCATCTGTGGGGGCTGTGCGGCTCCTCCCAGCCGCACTCCCCCTCCCCTGGGTCCTGCTCAGCCCCCCAGCTGCTGCTGAAGGGTCCCGAGCGAGCGAGCGCTGCTGGACTGATTGTGGCTCGCGCATCTTGAACTTCCTCGAGGGCAGCCGAGGCCCGCGTGGTGCGGTGGCCATGAGCCAGCGCAGACTGGTGCGCCCTCCCAGGGGAGCCGCTGCGCCCCAGGCAAGGCGGGCGCGTGCCAAGGCCGCTCCGCTCAGCCGCCCCTCCCTTTGTCTGCTGCTGCGCGTCATCCTCATCCTCATCCGTGGCGGTGGTGGTGGTGGCGGCGAGCCGGCCGCACAAGGCAGGGAGGGATGGAGAGGCCGGTGCCGTGCAGCAGGGAGAGGGTGGGGCAAGGAGGGGGAGGCCTGGGTGGGAGCGCACGCCCCCGCAGCGGGGGGGGGGGAGGCCTCCGAGGAAGGGCTGGGTGCCGGAAGTGGCGGCCTCTGCTGCATTCAGCCCGGAGTGCGTAGCGGGGCGTGCTCCAGTCCGAGGGTGCTCGTCGCATGAAGCTGCTCCTCCAGCGCTATCAGCTTGACGTGTCCATGCAACCCGGTGCCGTTCACAAAGGCTCAGAGCAGGGTGGGGACGATAACCAGGCCGTGGGAATGCCTGGCTCGGTGTGTCTGCCCAGAGCAGACGATCCTGGGCGGAAGGGCCCCCGCGGCGGCCCAAGGAACTGCAGGCGCCCTACCGCCTCTTGGCCACTGCTCTGCCAGCCCCAGAGGCCCCTCGGAGGACTTCTTCCCTCTCTCCGAGGCAGCTGAGGAGGGGCTGCCCCTGCGCCCACACTGAGTGTGCCCGTTCAGGGCTCTGGGGCAGGATGGGGCCGGAGCGAGGGCACGGGGCCGCCCACCCAAGGGCTCGGCCGGGCCTGTGGCGGTTTTGCAGTGCGATTTGCATTCATGTTTGAATATATGGATCTTTTCGGAATAGAAATCTGTAATTAGGCTGAATAAACTGTATGGCAGTTTTGCATTAAGTAGCAGATGGTGACACCTCAGGGTTGAGGCAAACAACCAGGTTTGGAAGGAACTCTTCCAAGCACAGACGTCTCCTCCTCTTCCTCCTCCTCCTCCACCTCTCCTTGCCAGCTTCAGAGTTTTCCTTAACTCCAAGAAAGCCTTGCCTGTTCTTGTGTCATTTTTGAGTGGCTCCTTCTCTGATTTATTGGTTTATCTATTTATTTCAGTGCCAGCTGCTGCCCTGTTATTCCCTGGGTGATTTGCATCGGGGATCAGAGGCTGAAGGGCTTCTTACAGAATCCATAGGATTCTGCTGCTTCTCAGGTTACTTGGGTCCATTCCAGTCGGGGCTCGGGCCTGGATCTGGGGCGCACAGCCCTGGTTTTTCTGGTTTAGGGTGGGTGCGGGAGAACAGGGAGGGGAGCGCAGCCTGGCCTGCCACGGAGCTCTCAGCACTGCCGGTACCACTAACCAGGGCATCTGTTGGCCTGGCCGGGTGCGAAAGTAGCTTTGGTTCTTCCTGGCAGGTCCATGCCCGAAGGTTTTGCTGGGAAGCGTCCGTTTCAGCCCAGTCGCACCCTCAGTCTCCAGTGTTGCTCCTTCTCGCCTCTTACTCAGCATCTGCTCCGTGCTGTGGGGGTTAGTCGCTGGCGTGCAGCGCTGAGGCTTCTTTCCATTTCTTTGCCCTGGGGCGCCTGCGGGAACTCCTAAACGGGCTTTTGGAGGCGGTGCAGGGCCAGGTGGGCCGGAAGCCTCCCACTTGGACGATGTTGTGCCGCCGGTCCCAGGTGGGGCTGCGGTCCCTGTCCAGAGATCCTCCTGGGCGTTTGGAAGCAGTAGCTTGTTGCCATGTTAGGCCGTCATTCCAACAACGGCCCTCTCGGTAAAGGGTGGGCCTGGCCACCGCCATCCTGGACATGGGTCAGTAACGCTGCATGAGTTGTGTTCACCTTTCTGAGTCCAGTTTGGACTCAGAGAGCCCCAAACGGTTTGGACTGAGCTTGCTGGAAAGACGGCCGGCGCATCCGTGGCGTGTGGGCAGCTTGGGAGGCCCTCCTCTGCACTCGGCCAGTGAGCTCCGTTCGTGCCCTCAGAATGGGAGGGGGTGCAGCAGGCAGGCAGGCAGGCAGGCAGTAAAGGCTCAGCTATTCCACAGTGTGTTTGTAGAGAAAGCTTTGTGCTCTTGTTGGTTTTTCTGGCTCAAGTGGTGTTGGCCTGGCTTCAGGGGGCTGCTGGTTTCAAAGGACCGGCGCTGGCCAGTCTGTCTGTGCATCGGGTTAGATGTTGCTGGGTGCTTGGCAGGAGGGCCGGTGCCCATCCCCCCTCCGCCCGGGCGTGCTTCGGATCCTGTGGGCAACTGGTTCACCCATGTGGGACTGGATGGCTCCCCCCACAGCAGAGCTCTTGATTTGCCGTCAAAGGCTTGTTATGTGTCTTCTAAAAGAGCAGGGATGTGAGCACTTTGATCCCAGGACCCCGTCTGTGCCTGCAAATCGGCACTCGGCGGTGCGGTCGCCAAGTCACATGCGGACGGCAGATAAAATACGCTCTCTTAAGGAGCGAGGATGGTGCTCCCTGAAGTCTGTGACGCGCCTCCCCGTCTTGCGCCTGCGGTGCCTGTCTGGTGCTCCCGAACAGCCGAGGCCCTGTCGAGTAGCGATTTGCTCGCAGGGAGGAGTGTGGCGGCCGGCATCTCGGCCTGGCCCTGCCCTCCAGGGACGGGAAGAACAGTGCCCAGAACGCGCCTCTCCCTTGCGGTGCTTGCACAAATGTCGCCTAAATCTGGGCGAGGCTGGGCGGCACTTTCCAAGGCAGCCCGCGGGTGGTGGCACAGCAGATCGCCCTGCCTCAGGTCCCTGGGGACACGGCAACAGGTCCCCTCCCTCCCCGCTGGTCACAGCAGCCTGGATTCCCAGCTGGAGTGCGCCTGCCTTGCGGCACAAGGCCACGGGCTGTGCATGTGTGCTCTGTCCTACCACTCAAGTGCTCTTGCTTGTCTTGCAGATCATCGCTTACCAGCCGTATGGGAAGTCAGTGGACTGGTGGGCCTTTGGCGTCCTGCTGTACGAAATGCTGGCTGGACAGGTAACTGCACCGGAATGGCTCCAGAGCTCCCCAGGAGCGGTCCAGTAGCCTCGGGAGCACGTCTTTGCTCAATCAGAGAAGCCCACGGGAGGGGAAGGGCCTGCTCTCAGCCCTGCGCTGAGGGTGGGCTCTTGGGCCGTGGCCTGTCCCTCCCAGCCGCAAATTCTGAACGAGATTGAGCCGGGCAGCATCACAGAGAGCGAAGGCTGTTCGGCTGCTGCGGACACTCTGTTGGCTTGCAGTGTTTGCTGAGCATTTTGCAGAAGAAATTCGGGTGCCATTCTGGAGAAAGCATTCTGGAGAAAGAGCGAGCGTGGGGAGGGGAGGGGAGGACAAGCATTAGGAGAGCTGGAGTGCTTTTTTAGCCGTTTGGAAGACCTATAGGCTCCTCCACAGAATGGTGCTATGAAAGGGAGGGCAGCCAGGAAGAGCGGGCGCCCGCCATGACACACAGCGTCCCTCGTTGTTCCCCGATTCCGCAGGCACCGTTCGAGGGGGAGGATGAGGATGAGCTCTTCCAGTCCATCATGGAGCACAACGTGGCCTATCCCAAGTCCATGTCAAAGGAAGCCGTGGCGATCTGCAAGGGGGTGAGTGGCGCGCAGGGAAGCGGGGTCTCCTCCTCCTGAGTCATGGGAGTCCGTGCCCCGTGCTCAGAGTGTGCTCGTCCCGGGAGGTGCTGACAGGGATCCTGCAGGGTGGGAGAGGACCTGCTGCCCTCCCTCGGCCGCTGGTTCGCCAGCTCCGGACACCGAGGAGAAAGCCCCCTTGGAGCCTGCTTCTGAGCGCCTTCCACGGGTGCCGCTTGCTGGTTGCGGCTGCTGGAATGCTCCCTTTTCTTGCGCGCATAGTGCCCATGGGTGCGAAAGGCCCAGGCATGTGGCCTTTTGTGCTGTGGTGCAAATTCCGTGCAAAGTAAAAAGGGTGTGACTTCCTGTTTCCTCTGGATGTTCTTGCCCCAAGGGGTCACATCCAGCAGTGCTGAAAATCTTTAGCCATGCCAAGATGGGGCCTAGACAAGAGTTTCCAAGGCCGAGACCAAGTTGTTTTTGCCACAGCAAGCAATTCTTTATTAGATTGGCAGCGCCAAAGTCTTTTATAGAAACAGAAACAGAGGGAGTCAGAAGGGGCCTCCTGGGCCATCTACTCTGACCCCTGGCTCCAGCCGGCTCCACTCACGACATGGGACAGTTTGAAATTTGAGCTTCTTCTATAGTAAGAAGCTCGAATTTCCATCTATCCCTTACTGTCCTTGAAATAATCCAAGTAACTGAAATCCTGTGGATAGTTGCATTTTTATTATAAAACTAGCGTTGCGTTCTTCCCCCTTGCTGTCCCCCCTGCCACCGGCTCCACCGCAGGTGCATTTACTTCCTCAACTGCCCGGCCACCCACTTTGTCTCACGGGCGGCTCCAGCCAGACCCCCGGTGGAATTGTGCTCTTTACTAAATGCCGAGGCAGAGCAGGGCTGTTCAGCATCCCGGCTCCCTGAGATTTTCCAAATCTCCCCCTGAAACTCATGTCGCCTGACCTGCATTCCCAAGTGAAAGCACTTTTTTTTTTTTTTTTTGGATTGGGGCAAAATGTACCTTTTTAAAAGCATGCATTTTTCCAACTGAAAAATGTGCATTTTTCGCACAGGGTAAAGTATGACAAAGTGGATTTCTGGGAGAAATGCCGTTTGCATGCATGAGCGAGGCCATGTGCAATTCAGGAAATGGTGGACCCTGCTCAAATGGGGGTGGGGTTCATGCCCATTTTGCCACATTGCCCCCATCACCAGCATGACGCTGCCACGAGGCAGCGGACAGGCATCCTCGGAGCTGCCCCCCGGCTGTGGAGGTGTGGCTGCGAGGGCCTGTGTCGTGCGGGAGGAGGGACCGGAAGGGCCCCCCATCCCCAGTTCACGGTTCAGCCTCTTCACCCCTTCACTAAGCCAGCGAGAACGTAGCTGCTGGTGCAAGACCCTGGAAGGGGCGGCTTTGTGCGGCTTCCATGGGGCCGTGCTTCTTACTCCCTTGGCTTGTCCACCCTGGGCATCCTTTGGCACCCGTCTCCTGTCTTGGGGAGGGAGCCAAAGGGTGCCGTCAGGATACTGGTGTCTCTTCTGCGTCTCCCTGTTGACTCTTTCCCCTGCCTTCTTGTCGGAGAGGCTTTGGGCAGAGGGCACATTCTGATAATGCACAGTAATAATTTGCATCTCCTTTCTCCTCCTGAGAAAGGGCTGTTTCATTAGACAAAGGCCCTCAGTGCCGGACGTGGCGGGCACCCTCCCTGCCTCAGTGCCAATGAAAAGGAGATTTCCTCTCTAAGCCTCGGGGCTTGATTGCTTTTCGGTTGTCCGTGTTGTGCACTTTCCAAGTACAAAGCCACCTTCCTGGCTTGGAAGTGGCTGGAAGTTGCACCCTCCGGGAGGAGCCACTGAGACGGGGGATTCTTTCAGGAGAGTCCAGCCCCTCCCGGTGGATCCTGCAGTCTGGAGCAGAGCACGGCCGGGTGCAGTGGTGGAGCAGAGGCGCTCCCGTCCGCAGCACACACCTCCTCCAGGGCTGGCACCCGGGCAGCTCATGGGAGAGCTCGATTGGGCGCCGAGCGGCCCGCTTGTTTGTCGAGCCCAGCTTGCTCCTCCGCAGCCCTGCACGTGCTTCAGGTTGCGGTTCGAGCGTGGCGATTTGGCACCTCCATCTTCGAACGCGATATTGCTTGTGCAGGCGGAGCGCCCTGCCGGGGCCAGGGCTCAGCGGGGCCGTTGCTTGCCTGGTTACCGGCGCAGCCGCGTGCCGCCCTGTGCTCTCGACAGCTCTGCCTTCTCCCTGCTCCCTCCCGCAGCTCATGACCAAGCATCCGGCGAAGCGCTTGGGGTGCGGCCCCGAGGGAGAGCGGGACATCAAGGAGCACGCCTTCTTCCGCTACATCGACTGGGACAAGCTCGAACGGAAGGAGATCCAGCCCCCCTTCAAGCCAAAAGCTGTAAGTTCTCCGTTTCCCTCCCGGGTGCCCTCCGCTGCCAGCACTGTCGCGCAGCTGCAGCAGGGAAGGAAACAGCCCCCCTCTGGTGCACCGATGGCCGGGCCACCTTCCTCAGGCCATCGCTGCGTCTGCATCGGGGCTGCTTTGCCTGGGATGAAGGCTCGCCTTGCCGGGAACGAAGCCGCTTCCAGAGGAGGCGTTCATTGTGCAGTTGCCCTGCCTCACTCCTGGAATTCTGCAGGCAACCCCAGCAATGCCTTCTGCTGGCAGCGCTTCCTCTGTTTTTCCCCACTGCTTTGTCTGTCTCCTTTGCGCCCACAGAAGGTGCTTTAGGGAGGAAAAGACAGAATAGCTGCACAAACTCTTTGGATTAGCAGCTCGCAGGGACATTTTGGATGAATGAGGGCTCTGTTCCTGCTTGCAAATCAGGCAAAATTGTCACCTGTTTGTGACACAAGAAGAGTGCAGTCCTCAGGCACTGGAACTCCGGAATCCTGGCCTGGGTGTGGGGAGCAGAGCCCGTGGCTCTCTTCCCAGCATATCGTGTCTCTCCACTGCATCCAGTGCGCAAGGTCATGGAGGGACCAAAAGGGGGTCTGAGCGGCCCGCTCTGCAGCATACGGCAGGTCTGAGTCGTTCATGGCCAAGTCCCCTCGGCAGCGGAACAGAAGGAGTAACGCGGCCGGTTGACGAGCGCAAGCCAAACGTGGCACCAGCTGTCGTGCTGTGGAGGGTCGAGGCTTCTGCTGTCTCCCCAGAGCTTCTGTGGCGGCTCTAAAGGCAAAAGGCCTGCGTGTGGGCAACTGATGCGCAAGCTGCCGTGGGAAGGGCCCGCCGTTCTCCTGGCAGAGGGGAAACTCTCCCAGCCCCCTCTGCTGGCAGCGCCGTGCCCATGCCAGGGCCGGGCTGCGGAAACAGCGAGCCCAGTCCGTGTGAGTGCTCGGACGTGCGGTGTCGCTCTCCTCCAAGCAGTGGCGCCACCTCAGGCTCACCGAGGGCAAGCGGCTTCAGCCAGGACTAGAGCGTTCCGTTGTTCCGGTGCTCGGAGTTGTGGCAGGCCCTGCTGGGTTTCAGTCCCAGAAGAGAAGCGTCAGTGCCTGCTCCCCACCGCTGCGCTGCGCTGCGCTGCTTGCTGGGCGCGTCCTCCCCTCATTCTGCCCTGTTTCTGGTGGCAGCCCAGCTCCTGTGGTCCTTGCAGGCTTCCTAAAACCTTGGATGAGGCTTCTTGTGCTGGAGCCAGGGAGAGGTTGGCGTTGCTGTGCGAAAGGCCCAAGGTGCCCCCCCACACGCACACAAACGCATGCAAGCACACACTCGATCCACAGGCCGACCTTGTGCCTGAGAGAGCCCACCTGCACAGACACGGCTGATCCTGGCCCTGTTGTGCACCGGTTGCCAGTTGCGGGCCCGGGGAAGCCCCTTTTCCACACTTGTGCACCACCTCGCGTTGTGATAATTATGAGGCATGCGCTTTTTTAATTCAAATCATTTCTTTCCTTCGCATAGAACCTAGTGTTTGGGAAACCCTCTGTTTTGATGGCGCACACAATGTTTAGACAAAGGAATGGCACTTGGTTTTGGAAAAGGAGTAATAAGGCAGAATGTGTCTTAATTCTGGTTCCTGACGCCCAGCTGAGCAGATCAGAGAAGGCAGCCAAGCTCCCAGGGAGCAAGCAAACAAGAGTTTCGCAGGGAAGGCAGAGCTGGGGAGGTCCTGAACTTCTCTCTTTTTCTTTCCCCTTAGCACCCCCCCCCCGGTTTGTTTTCCTCCTTGCAACACCCTCCCAAGCACTGGTGGGGCTGTGTGGTTAGCCTCCAGGGAAGGCGGGGGAGTACCAGGGGCTGCAGCAGACCCAGCCAGCTGGAATGCACAGGGCGGCCGGAAGCACAGACCGGGGAGGCCCCTCAGCGGGGAGGGCTGCACACCTGTGCGCCGTGTTGTCCTGCCTGAGGTCAACATGGCCTGCAGGGGCTCCAAGTGCGGGCAGGGGGCCCCGCGAGAGGAACAGCGGGAGCGCTGGAGCAGTGAGTGCCCACCCCCAGGGGACAAGGGAGGGCGAGGGGCTGTGAGGCCGAGCGGTGGGACTGCAGCGGCTCCGAGCGGGCGAGCGGGCGAGCGGGGCAGGCGCTACCGGGGCAGCAGCAGGCGGAGGCGGAAGAGGAGGAGCAGCTCCCTGGGAAGGGGCGGCAGTGTGGCACGGGCGCACGGGAAGGCGCTGCCCCGTGGAGGCGGAGGACGAGCCTGGAGGGCAGCCTGCTGGGGCAGGGCACGAGCCCCCCACGCCACACTGACCAAGAGGCTCGCGGTCCTGCAGGCATTGGCAGTGAGAGCAAGGAGCTGAGGTGGGGGTCGTCGTGGGAGACTCCCTCTGGCACGGGACGGAAGCGCAGGAGGTCAGGGAACCCGTGCGATCGGTCGCAGGCCGTGCTGCCCCCGTGACGACAGGTGGGGGATGCAGCTCCGATCGCCAAGGCGCCTGGAACCCCCAGGCGGCTGCCGCTTCCTCCCGATGCAGATGACACTGCCAGGAGCAGCCTCGGCGAAGTCACGTCAGACTCTGACGCCGCAGGGAGGGGAGTCAGGAACTTGGGGGCCCAGAGAGTTTTCCAGTTCTTGGAAGAGGAACAGACTGGGAAAGAAAAGGACTTCAGGGGAATGCCTGGCCATGAAGGTGCTGCTGACTTCAGGGGAATGCCTGGCCATGCAGGTGCTGCTGACGTGAAGTCTGGATTCTGGGACCACGGGCTGTGGTTCCTGGAAGACGGGCGGCTGGCAAGGGATGGCCTGCACCTTGCAAGGGCAGGAAAGAAGGTGCTTGGCCACAGCAGGGAGAGAGGACAAGGGATGAATTGAATGCAGTGGTAGGAATCTGTTACTGATCACCCAGTCAAGGAGAAGGCAAGGATGAAACTTCGGGAAAGCAATGGCCAGGGTTTCGAGGAGCCATGATGTTGTTATGGGGGGGGGGGGTCAGTTTCCCTTCCATCTGATGGGAGACAAATTCTGCCAGGTGTGCCCTTCCAAGAGATTCCTAACGTGTTGCTGATAACTTCCTCCAACAAGAAGTGGAGGAAGGAACAAGAGAAACCGCCGTCCTTGGCTAACCGACAGGGAAGTCCCAGTGGGCAAAGTGCTGCGACAGGAACGCGGGAGGACAGTGACCTCGCCATGCTTGAATTCTCAACTCTGAAGGAAGCAAACACCAAATGTAGCCACACACACACCCTGGACTTTGAGAAAGCCAATTTTAATAAACTCAGAACAATGATTAGCAACGCTCGTGGCAAACAACTCTCATGAGAAAAGGAGTCCAAGCAGGGCGGGAGTTTTTAAAAGGGAAATTCTAAAGGCTCAATTGTAAACAATTCCAGCAAGAAAAGGGATGGAAGACATCAAGCGAAGCACAAGCGGTGGCCTAGAGATTGCTTGGAAGCAAACAGGGCCTGAGGGAAGAACAGAGAAGACCAGGCGGCAAAGGGGTGACGGAGGCAGCTGGCATGGGGCTGCAGCGATGGTGTCAAGCAGGCTAACGCGAGGAGGGAACTGAGGCCAGCGAGGGACGGTGAAAGCCACGAAAAAGTCTTCCTCAGTGTGGATGGCAAAATGATAGCAGGTGAGAGAAAAGGCAGAAGTGTTCCATTCCTGCTTTGGCTCAGTCTTCCCCCAGAAGAAGACCTGTGAGTTTCCTGAAGGCTGCCACAAAGGGTTAGGACACGATCTCTTCTCGATCATCCCAGAGTGCAGGATATGGAATAACAGGCTCAAGTTACGGGAACCCAGATCCTTGCTGGACATCAGGAAGAACCTCCTGACTGTTAGAGTAATGCAGCGCTGGAGCGCATGACCCGGCTAAGGTTCTCTTCTTCTGCCTCAGCTCTCTGGGGCATTTCTTGCTTCTCTCCTGCTCTTAGCTGTTCTGCTGCTGTCTAAAAGCCCTCTTTCGTCTTCTTGAGTCTGGGCACTCGCTGCTCCAGTGCTCCCACCTTGTCCTCCTCAGGACCACCTGCTTGCCCTTGATGCACATGCAGACTGTGCTGACCCCATGGAGGAAAGCAAGCGCTGCACGGACCTGGTGGGCCACCGCCAACGCAGCCTTCGGGAAAGGGCACGGCCCTGGCCCGCTCTCCTTGGACCAGGCGATGCACTGGCGAGCGCCTCCCGTCTGCCGGGCCTGTGACGGAATGAGGGGGAGAGAGAGGCACACATAAACACACGCACACCCGTAGTAGTGAGGGGCGCACGGAGGAGCTTTGTCATTGGGTGCGCTTTGGAAGATCATTTTCTGTACGACCTGCAGCTCTCAGGAGAGATGTGTATCTCTGGATCTTGTGTGGGAGGCGCTGCCCGTCTGAGCATGAATAGCTCCTGCTTCCCATGGAAAGTGCTTTGAAGCAGCTCTCCGCAGTGCTGGGGCTGTCCTGAGCGAAAATGGCCAAGAGGGCGCCTGGTGTGCAGTCCCCAGCGGGGGTCTCGATGCGTTTTTCTTTGGAAGACAAAATTCAGTGCACACACGGATCAAAAGCGTCTCCTGCACCAGTGTCTCCTATATGCATCTTTCCCACATGAAAAATATGCCCCCTCTGCTCAGGGGTCGCACTTGGCCCTTGTGCCCTGGGAGCAGAGGGGGCCCTTGCCCTCTCCCCAGACGTGTCCCTTTGGGTGAGAGCCTTCTCTGGCTGTGACGGGCGCCATGCCACGCAGCACTCCACGCATTTTCCCTCTACTGTTTTGGGAATTCTTACAACAGCCCTCATAGGAAGAAGAGCATGATTAATCCAGAACTGAAAGGGAGTCATAAGCCAAGCGGGGGGAAAGCGTGGCTTGGCTGTTCATGGCGGGGCAAGATGAGAAGCGGGAATTTGCTGGCTCGCATCGGACCCTGTGCCACAGCACTGTGCTCTTTCTGGCTGGCAGGGGCTCGAGAGGGGTCAGCATGCCCTTTACAAATAATGTTATTAAATGAAAACAATGCAGTGCAATGCAGAAGTACGTCCGTAAC